GTTTTCTGCACATTTTTATGAATTTGCAATCATCCAGCCAGCCAGCCAGCCAGCCAGCCATCCATCCATCCCTCCATTCATTCCATAAGCATGCATTGAAAACATAGCAAGTTCCGGTTACTATGGCAGACATTAGAAACAGGGAGGGGCAAGTCACACAAGGTTCCTGCCCTCTAGCAGTTGACTCCCCAGGAAAGAAAGGTGATGATAAACACTGCATGGAATATTTACAATGTTATAAAGGAAGACGAAGGCATGTAGAGGTACACAGTGCTTTCAGTGTTCCACGTGATAGAAGATGGGAGCTTCTGGGCAGTTAATATCTGAACAGTGCTCAAATTGAAGGGAAAGTTTGGATAGGCCTTCCCCATCCCCAGGAAGCTTACAGAACCCAGGCAGTGAATGGAACGGAAGGACCTAGTGTATCACTGAGGCACTGCTCTGCCTTGTCACCTCTTGATCCAGACCATGCCAGGAACCTTGTGCTTGAACTTTGTTCTATTACCCGATTAAGGTACCTGGGGTGATCAGAGGATTCTGAGGAGGAGTCCACAGCTATAAACTTCTCCTTCCAGACCTCGTAGATACCTGAATAGGGGAGTGGGGGTCAGGGACAGGGGAAAACATAAATCTTAAGCCCAGGGCACACTGTGTCTTCAGATGGTTTAGAGGATTGAAAACCTAGAGATTTAGTTTGTTTGGTTTTTCAAGACATTGTTTCTCTGTGGCTCTAGAGGCTGTCCTGGAACTAGTACTTTTAGATCATAGCTGGCTTTGAACTCACAGAGATCCACCTGCCTCTGACTCCCGAGTGCTGGGATTAAAGGCATGTGCCAACAACACCCAGCAAAAATCTAGAGATTTTTAAACCATTAATCAATCATATAAAATTTCAATAACATGGACCAGCTAGATGGCTTTTCAGGTCAAGGTGATTGTTGTCAAAGCCCAAAGACCCAAATTCTATACCTGGGACCCACATATGGTAGAAAGAGAGATCCAGACTCTATGCAATCCTATCAAAATCCCAATACAATTCTTCACAGACCTTGAAAGAACAATACTCAACTTTACATGGAAAAACAAACCCAGGATAGGCAAGACAACCCTGCTCAACAAAGCAATGCCTGGAGGCAACACCATCCCTGACTTCAAGCTCTATTATAGAGCTATAGCCCTGAAAACAGTTTGATATTGGCACAAAAATTGACAGGTAGACCAATGGAATCAAATAAATAACTCTGAGATTAATCCACAAACACCTTATAAACGTCAAAGAAGCTAAAAATATACAATGGAAAAAAGATAATATCTTCAACAAATGGTGCTGGCATAACTGGATATTGGCATGTAGAAGACTGCAGATAGATCCATGTCTATCGCCATGCACAAAACTTAAGTCTAAATGGATCAAAGACCTCAACATAAATCCAGACACACTGAACCTGCTAGAAGAGAGAGTGGGAGGTACCCTTGAACAAATTGGTACAGGAGACTGCTTCTGAACGTAACACCAGTAGCACAAATACTGAGATAGACAACTAATAAAAGGGACCTCCTGAAACTGAGAAGCTTCTGTAAGGCAAAGGACACAGTCAGCAAGACAAACAGGCAGTCCACAGAATGGGAAAAGATATTCACTAAACCCACATCTGACAGAAGGCTGATCTCCAAAATTTACAAAGAACTCAAGAAGCAAGTCTCCAAAACACCAAAGGATCCAATTAAAAAGGGGGGAAGTGAGCTAAATAGAGAATTTTCAATAGAGGAGGTTAAAATGGCAGCGAGACACTTAAGAAAGTGCTCAACATCCTTAGCCATTAGGGAAATGCAAATCAAAACAACCCTGAGATATCATCTCACTCCTGTCAGAATGGCTAAAATAAAAAACACCAATGAGAGCTTATGCTGGAGAGGATGTGGAGAAAAGGGAACACTCATCCATTGCTGGTGGGAGTGTAAACTTGTACAGCCACTTTGGAAATCAGTATGGAGATTCCTCAGGAAAATGGGAATCAGTCTACCACACGACCCAGCAATTCCACACTTTGGCATATACCCAAAAGATGCCCATTCATACAACAAGGACGTCTGTTTTACTATGTTCATAGCAGCATTATACGTAATAGCTAGATCATGGAAGCAACCTAGATACCCACAACTGAAGAACTGAAGAATGGATTGAGAAAAGATGGAACATTTACACAATGGAGTACTCAGCAGAAAAAAATGGAATCTTGAAATTTGCAGGCAAATGGTTGGCACTAGAAGAAGCTATCCTGAGTGAGGTAACCCAGTCACAAAAAGAAAACATGGTATGTACTCACTCATATATGGATTTTAGATATGGATTAGGGGAGTATCAGCCTACAATTCCAGTGCCAGTGAGTCTAGGAAACAGGGAGGTTCCCAAGGGATATACATGATACCCCCAGAGAAGGGAATGAGGCAAGATCTCTTGAGCAGATTGGGAATATCAGGGGAGGGGAAAGTGAACCAGGAAAAAGAGAGGGGGATAAGAGAAGGGGAGAAGAAGGCATAGGGGAGCAGGAAGGTTGAGTCAGGTTAAGAGTAGAGTAGAGCAGGATGAGAGATACCATAATAGTTGGAGTCATTATAGGCTTGAGGAGAGAGATGACACTAGTGAGATTTCCAGAGATCTACATGGATAACATCAACTGGCAAACTAAGCAATAGTGAAGAGACTACATTAATAGCCCTTCCTTGATGATAAGGTTGATGACTACCTTATATGCCATCCTAGAACCTTCATCCCGTGACTGATGGAAGCAGAGACAGATACCCACAGTTAAACACTGAACTGAACTCCTGGAACCCAGTAACAGAGATGGAGGAGTGATGAGCAAAGGGGTCAAGACCGTGATGGTGAAACCCACAAAGACAGTTGACCGGGTAAAGGGGAGCTCTTGAACCCCAGACTGATGGCTGAGAGGTCAGCAGGAGACTGATCCAGACCCCCTGAATGTAGTATCAATGAGGAGGCCTCGGCAATCTCTAGGGCCTTGGGTAGTGGATTAGTGTTTACCATGGCCTACAAACGAATTTTGGGAACCCATTCCACATAGAGGAATGCTCTCTCAGCCTGGACACATGGGGAAGGCCCTAGGTCCTGCCCTGGATGAAATGACAGACTCTGGAGATCCACCCCAAGGAGGGCCTCACCCTCCCTGGGGAATGATATGGGGATTGGGTGGGGGGCTGCAGGGGGGCTGGTTGAGGGACAAGGGAGGAGGGGTGGGAGAGGGAGCTGGGATTGACATGTGAAGCATTCATGTTTCTAATTTAAATAAAAACATATATTGAAAAATGCACCTCATTAGAGTAGTGTTTAAAAGCATTTCTTTACCTTCAGTTAAACTTTGTCTTTAAAGAACTTAGTTAAGGACTAGCTTATGATGGAGGTTGGCTGTGATGATTCTTGCTGCCTTAGTTTTCTTCAGTACTGAGCTCCACAAAAACCTCATCCCATTCAACATGTTCATAGGTATGCTCTCTCATTGTATCTAGACTTTTCTGCATTTCAGTTGGTACTGGGCTAATTAATTAATTAATTAGTGAAAAGAATGGCAGGTACATTCAAGTAGAAAAAAAAACACTGAGGAACAATCTAAAGGTCTAAAGGCCCAGCAGTGGAGGGCAGCTGGGAAGGCTTGTGGAAAGAAGTTTTCTGTTGGAGAGGGAGAAGAGAAGAGGAGGTGATCAGAGGCCAGTGTATAGATTCTTCTTGGCCTTAAGGAGGTCTTTGGATTTTAGGGTACCTTTGAGGGGAAAAGCCTTTGTGAGCTGACTGCCTTGCCAAGATGATACAATGTATTTATAAATATCACCCCAGCTGCTGTACAGGAAAGCTACTGGGAATAAAGTTTCACCAAGATGAACATGCACCTGTCTGCATCTCAAGCAGGAAAATGCACCTGCTGGCTTCCCTCAGTTGTCTGCATGGCAACTTCCAACCTACCTAGGCATAGCATCTTCACTAAAGTTTTATTCTGCAAACCAGGCAACCTTATTCCAGGAGTGCCTGTGATCTTTGGGCACCAAGGCTATTAACGAGAGTGGTACTTTTATCCTTTCCATCCTCACACCTGAGTCACCAAATGGACACTTTCTCACTTTGTTTTGTGAGATCGGTACAAAGGGAAGATATGTGTATCAGAATCACATTTCAAATACCTGACGCCACAGATATCTAAACCAAATAACTTACAGGATGGGAGGGGAATACAAAAAGATTCTCTGCACTGAAACAAAGGAAGTCTGACAGTGGAGGATGACAAGAAAATGAGCAAAGGATGATGAAATAGATAACTAAAGATAAACAGTTTTAGAATGCAGCAAGGAAGTTCCAGACCACAAGCTTTCTATTTCCTGCACCAAAGCAACTCCTGACTAAATGATACTTGAAAGAACTAGTCCCCACAGGGGAAAGAAGTGAATGTCACAGTTTTTAAATTCATAATTCCCTAAATAAAACTTGTCTCAGTTGGAGAGAGAGCCACAAGGATAGAGATTTTAAAATCCCTATTCAGTAGCATATCTTCTGACTGCCAGCAGAACCTGGTACACAATAGATAACAAGTAAATGCCAATAGCTACAAATACAAAGAAATGCATGTATTGTATTACATAAAAACATTTGCCCTCTCTTCTAGTGGTCTTCCATATAAAATACGGTGATCTCAAACCCTTAACTCCTTGCTTAGATTATGCTATTTCCTAAGTTATTTGCGGTTTTCTAAAAAAAAATGGGGAAAGATATCTTCAACTTTGGGAAAATCCCGTTTACTGCTGTTGTGAGAAAGCACACTTCAGACAACAGGGAAAGCCCGCAGCTCACCACCACAACACACGGTGAAGTGTCTGGGCCACTGGAGCATAAATTAAAGAGAACTGGCAGAACTGACAGAGAAGGAGGGAGGAGGAAGGGGTGGAGCCAGACTAATGGGGTTTAAAGGCTGAAACGCCTCAGAGACCAAGACACTGAACAAGACAGCTCCAGCAAGGCCTCACTGTAGACCTCTTAAGACACACCAGAGAAGCCAGGGAATTTGGAGAAGAAAAAAAGAAGATGAATTCTGAAGATGGTTCTGTAACAGAGAACAGCTCTTCACATCTAGAGAGAGGGGAGAAGGGTAAGTCCTGTGACTTCTTACATTCTGGTACGATCTCTATGTCTGATGAATGAAATAGAGTGCAGAATGGAGAGATCCCTTTCCAAGAGTTGGTTAGGCTCTATTTCAGTTGGTAAAAGAGAAACCAGCCATAGGTAAATAACTCTCTGGCTGTGAGAAGACAGAGTACCTGTATGAGAGGGAGCTATATGAGTTTTAGAAGATCTTTAAAAGACTTTTTCTTTGAATCAATTTATAGCATTTCAACTACTACATTTAAATGGAGTGTTCTCTGCCTTATCCTAGTTACTCTTCCTCATTTTCCCCTAACCATCTGTGCATAACTCAGGAGGTCTTACCCCTCTTTATGAAGAGCTCTTTTTCACATGATGGTTATGTTCTTGCTCTTTCCTTGTATGTTGGCCTGCTTTCTGTGTGCCTTGCTTCTTCGGTGCTCCCATCACAAATCCTTCAGTGGGTAGAAGCACACAGATCTCCAGTCTAAGAGAAAACAGCTATACACACACATGAACATTCACAGTGTCACGTGATGACCTATTAGGATGTAGCCCTTCCTTTCTTTAAAATGTCATCCTCTGCCATGACCTTCTATTTGGAATGCCCTCCTTCCATTTTATCCTATTTCTGTCCTCCAGAGACTCATTTCAAATTCTATGATAACTATACATTTTTCTTCATTTTTTCCAAACATGATCACTCTGCACATTTCCCTGTATCTGTTCTACACACATTATTCTTCCTATTGTCAGAATTCCCCCATGCTGTTTCTGAGTGATGAGGCACCCTCCAGAACTTAGCACTTGTGAACTAGAGTGATTGTAGGCAAGAGCTATCCAGTTAATAATGGAACGTGCTATGCCCAACACAGCCAAGACAGTTGGTGATGAGGGAATTATTTTATGAGTGTTTCATTGTCAGGTTGGCTTATTGTAAAAAAAAGCTTCCATTACCTTTACAACCCATCCCTTATTTGGGATCATGAAATCAAGCACAGATAGTGTGAAATATTCATTTTTACAGACCTAAGTCACCTATACCGGTATGTCTCACTTAAAATAAAAAATACAATAATGAAACTATAATCAACAGTGGAATGGAAGAAGGAGTTAAGGTAGAAAATCCCACTCTGGCCTCGGATCAGACCCATCTACCCTCTTATACTTAGCCTATGCTCTCATTTATGTAACTGGAACAGTAAAAGAATCAGCAGGCTCCTCTTGGGTGATTGAAAGGTGATATATAGGTGGATCTGTTTTCAACCTCTACAATAACTCACAGGCCTCAGACGTGTACTGTTAGCGGAGAATGTTTTGTTGCCTAGGTGACAGGTTGAATTGTGGTTAACCGTGACCCTCAGTGATGGAAATAAAGTGTCACGTGAGAGCTTGTCTCCACACTCTATCCACCAGGTGGGTCAAAGGGTTGACCTTGCTGATGCCTAGGTGTTGTTTTGGATATAGATGTGTTTGCTGTGGAGCTAGAGTTATTTACGAATGGAGCATAAACAGTGTGACTACCATATGCTGAGACGTGAAACTAGACCCATCTCTGAACTTATTACTCAACCTGCCAAAGACTACCTCTGAAGATAAGTGTGTAGGTGTGAAAATGGAGGCAAGGAAAAACAGATCCTGACAGGACTGATGAGGTCTTCTCTTAGAATATCTGAAAACAGATTTTAACCAAGAAAAAAGAAAACTCCTAGGAAATGCATGGGTTGATGATACTGGTCACACTGTGCCTCCTCACCAAGTTTATCTGTAATGAGATGTTTTTACAAAAAGAAAAGAATTCACAAATTCCAAGATACAGTCTACAGAACTACTCTTTTAGTGATAAAAAGTCATTCACATTGAAAAGTTACATGCTATAATGAGAAAAAACACTTTTGAGACAGATTCTCAACTTGCAGCCAAAGCCAGCTGCAAACTCACTGTCCCCCTACATGTTGGGATCACAGTGGTGGAGACTGATTCACTGCCAGTTATAATGTCATTCAAGGAGCCGTTTCACACTCAGCTTCTGAGAACTTTTTTAATCGAATTTGGGAACTTACAAGGACATTCTTGTGGAGCCACACACAAGAGGGTCATCCTACAAAAAAAAAAAAAAAACAAATTCAAAATCTGAAGCCAAAAATTGACTTCTCCCTCTTTCCAGTCATCTAACATGCTAGAACAGATATATTCCTACCTATTCAAATCCTGACATAGAAACGTTTCTTTTGTTGTTACTTTCTTGTTTGCTTGTTTGGGATTTTTTGTTGTTGTTGATGTTTTGTTTGTTTTGTTTACCAAAGCAGTTTTTCTCTGTGTAGCCCTGGCAATTTCAGAACTCACTCTGTAGGCCAGACTGTCCTCTAACTCACAGAGATCCTCCTGCCTCTGCCCCGTGAGTCCTGGGATTAATGGCATAGACCACCACTGCCTGGCTAGAAACATTTCTTATTAGTTAAAGGTAATGGTGACTTTGCTCAACCTTTATAGAGAAAATTAAATGGAAAAATTCTGTTTAATGTAGAACCTTGATGGCACTGTTTTTCTTTTTATTATTTTATACTGTCTTAGAAAATTAAATGTTTCATGTCCATTCTTACACTATCGTTTTAACTGGGGTATAATTCACATGCAATGAATGAACACATCACAGAAGTGTGATGTGATGACATGACAACCATGAAGTCACAATTCCCATCAATATTTGAATGTTCTCATCTCCCTAGGACATTTGCAGGTCCCATTTCCACAAGCATAAATGCAAACATTGTCTCATGTCTCACACCACATCTTATTTTGGCTACTCTAAAGTGCCACTTATATGGAAATATATATTATGTAATCGTTATTGAATATATTTTTATCTAACATTATCTTTTTTAGAATCATATTGTATGCACCAGGGTTTTGTTTTAATTGCTAAGAATTATTTTATATGGATATACCAAAATGCATGTATTTTCTCTTAAGTGGACAGATATTTGGATTATCTTCAGGACTTGGTGTTAATGATAAATCTTTGAATATTCTTGTACAAGACATTTTAGGAACATGTTTTATAACCCTTAAAGGTGATGTATATATTTGTGTAAAAGACTGTCTATATCATACAATGGTATGTACATAACATTGTTTTTTATTCATGTCTGTGTAAGTATAGGTCATATATGTATAGGTTTCTTCAGAAGCCTGAAAAGGCACTGGATCCTTTAGAGCTGAAGTTATAGGTGGTTGTGAGCTGCCTGACATGGGAACTGGAAACCGAACACTGGTCCTCTACAAGAGCAGTATATGCTCTTAGCCACTAAGGCATCTCTGCAGTCCCTATGTATACATAGCATTTTAAAATATTTTCAAAGTGTTTTTCCAATTTACTTGCTTAGCATTAATATATAAAAGCTCCCAATTGTTACATATCTGTACTATCATTACCAAGAATCATACAAGTTTAAAAATGTTTTATTTAATCCTACTTTTAAATATTTATGCATAAATTCACATTTCACTTCATTGCATTCTTCACATTTATCACAGGCACTTCATCTCTTCTAAATAGTAGCAAATTCCAAGGAGACTAAGAAATTACAGCCACAATGATCCTTTTATATATCTACTATGGCAACTGGATGCTTAAGAATTCTAATATTGTAGTTAATACAAGAAAATAATATGCTTGAATTTTCCATAAGTATGAAATACCCATTATACTATATATATATATATATATATATACATATATCATTGTGTCAGCATTTCAGCATTTTGCCTGTCTTGCTTTATCTCTAGCCAACAAAACATTTTCCAAATATGCTCAGAATTTGGTAAAATTGACTATTAACATTTAATATTATTGGGACAACATATTACTATTTTTAATTTTATATCAAATGTTCTGTCTTACAGCCTGAATTCATAGCCACTTCTCTCCCTTTTCAGACCATGGCACCTCTTCATATTTACAGAACTCTCATGAAGGCTCCATTCAAGTTCCTATCCCTTGGGCTGTGCTGATCGTGGTCGTCATTACTTCCTTAATTATAGCTCTAGTTGCCTTGAGTGGTGAGTCTAAACTTCATGAATTTTCTCAAAGCCTGCTAGCAGTAAACATTCACTTACAGCTGAAATGAATGGGTCTTAGCCTGACCTAGCTAATTAGGCCTTCTGGTCAACTTAGAAACATCTCATATGCCATAAGTGACCAGGTTTATGATTAGCATGAAATACAATCAATGTTTCCTGAATGACAGCTGCAACAATTTTACAAATACAAGAAATGTCTGATTTATTCATATGTAGAATAGAACATGATTACATCTATAAGAAATGATATATATGCATATATATGACATATATAGGTGAATAAACATATAACTAGAGAAAATGTAGACTTTTTATTTACAGTTGACAGGAAAAATGGTATAAAAAAACCAGTATCTATAGATTCATCAAAAAGTGGCCAATATTTTTGCCTTCTATCTCAAGCCAACAGAATAGAAACTGAATTATTACAACAGCCAGGACTCCCAGGGCCAGCTGGGTCATACTGCGCCACCATGCGTGACAAGACACATTTATGTGTTTTTACAAATAGAAATGTTGCAATTTGTGGAAACACCCCAAATAATCCATCTTACTGCATTTTTAATTGAAAATAATTTGCATAGTATCTTGTGATCACACTTTTCTTTCCTCCACCTCCTCCCAGACTTCTCCATACACTTTATCTTCTGCCTGAAAAGACTCCTTCATTCTTTTATCTTGCAATCTGCACCCTAGATTGTGCCTTTTGATTGCTGTGTGTGGACATTCAGATTCAAAACTCACTTAGAACTCATAGTACATGTTTCCTCCTTTAGCCCAAATGTTATTTTTGAGATTTCCCCACTTTCTTGCCATTTTCTGGTATAATGACACAGTCCTCTGCTCATGCCCCTGGACTAGGTTTTCTTGTGGAGAGGGTTTGATCTCTTCTGTTACTAAACAAATGATCTTCCTGTCCACAGTGGGCCAGTACAATTGCCCCGGCCTGTATACGCGCTCGGCATCATCTAACTACCACTTGGCATCATCTGACTACCGTGTTGCTTCCTGCAAGGACGAGTGGGTGGCATACCAGAGGAAATGCTACTTTTTCTCCACCACAACCAACAGCTGGGCCTCGGCTCAAAACTCTTGTTCTCAAGAGGGCGCTACTCTAGCTGTTATCGATTCCCAAAAGGACATGGTAAGATTCACAACTGACATCAAATGCCGCTATTTTATTTAGATCATCTATGGATTCTCTGTGTTCTTTTGTGAGTGGAAACTGGGTACCTATCTCACATGCAGGAAAATTCAGTCACATGGGGCCATAGGAACCATCTAAAAAGTCAAAATGAAAGTCTGCTGTATAGTCTTGCAGTGTGGTTTGGTTGCCTAGTTTCAGAGACCAGCATTTCAGATGAGCCCAACTAACGATGATCAAGTTAGCCACAACACTCAGTCAAGTTTGTAATGTCATTTCATTGTGTTTTAAGATATTTCTGAAGCGACATGCTGGTGAACAGGAACACTGGATTGGGCTGAAAAATGAAGCTAATCAGACATGGAAATGGGCAAATGGCAAAGAGTTTAACAGTTGGTAAGTTACAAGAAATCTCTTTGTCCCTTATAAGCTGACACTTAAAAAAATCCTTTCTTCTTTCATTTTTATTTTACTTCTTTTTATTTTATTTCTACCCCTCCCCATTTTTTCGTTTTTAAGTTATGTCGGTGCTGGAGGCTCAGTTCTTCATCACACAGCTCTCGTCACTTTTCTTGTGTGTATTATGCTTCTTGGAGTTATTTAGAGGCACCCTTTATTACTAAAATTTACTCAAGAACTCCTTTAAATAACTTAACTTGGTCTTGGCAAACACTAGTGTCAGCAAAAGTCTTAATGATTTTGGGCATAGTCCAGGAACACTTCTGACGATGGCTGATGAAACAGTTGTTGTGAAAGAATTGCCTATTTCACCTTCTTTCCAAGTTCAGGGACAAAGAACAGTATCTTAGTGCCTAATTACAAGTGTCTATGAACCTAAGGAAAACTCACCCCCAAGCTCACCCCTGTTACCATTCATTAAGTTAGATTCAAAGTTTTGAGGGGCATTCTATAAATTTAGTGTTGATCTTTGACATATAAATCTCACAATGAGTAAATTTCTCACTCTTAACATTTATACAATAAATGATAGAATATAAGAATTAAAATCTACATTTCTAAGTGAGGCGCAGTGGTGCATACCTTTAGTCTCAACACCCAGGAGGCAGAGGCAGTTGAATCTCTGTGAGATCAAGGGCAGCCTAGTCTAACACTGAGACCATTTCTCAAAAACAAACAAGTTGTATTCCTGGTAAAGGTCCTTTTAATATGTGTCCCATGGTTGTATACCTACACCTAGGCTACAAAGGAATACAAGAAAACCACCTGTGACCTAAATAAAATGGCAGTATTTGATGCATGCCCTAAGATGCCCTAAAACTGTGCTTCTTGAAGGATCTATAAACTAAAAAATGATAATGAACTGTTCTGCTGCTGGGACACCCACTAAAATCAGAAAAATAAAGCTTTTAGCTCTGCCTACTTTCTCCACCAAGATTCCCTTCCCATGTTGTCTGTTGTCTCTACACAACAGACCACGGCTACTTGACTGGAAGACTTGTATTTGTACTTTTTACTCAGGGAACACATAGCAAAGGCAGTGGTCACCACAAAATTTATTCTCATGTAACTCTCTAGAAATAATGAACTGGAAATAAATTTGAGTGTCTTTATGGTTTGACAGGTTCAACATGACAGGGTCTGAGAGTTGTGCATCTCTGAACAATACAGACATTACCACGGAGGACTGTGAGGCAAGCTTACACTGGGTCTGCAGCAAGCCCTCCAGATGACAAGGAGCCTTCATCTATAGATGACTGCATCATGGTTCCAGAGGAAAGTTGTGTGACTGAATAATACTCTATGGTCAAATTTCCTGCAAAACCCTCACAGACCAACTTTACCTGATCCTGGGACTCTTCCAGATAGGACTGTGGACAACAGGGGGAGAAACTCCCAACTTTACCTGATCCTGGGACTCTTCCAGATAGGACTGTGAACAACAGGGGGAGAAACTCCAGGAAGATCTGTACTGGGGTCTCCCTTGACCATGAGCTGAAAATGTCACTCACTGACTGATAATCACATGAAAAAATGAGAAGGTGACTATGAAGCCTTATAAATGCACTTTATATTTTAAATCTACAATGAATAAAATGACTATGTTTAGAGTTACTATTTATTGCTGAATGACTGCGACAGCCAGTGCCTTCACGTGTTTGCACTATTTGAAAGGGTTTGGGTGGTAGTAAAAGCTGAATGTAGATATAGGAAAATTTGATTGGTATTCACAAGTAGATCAATGCTTAGGAAACCAAGCTTTGCAGTAGCTCCCTCTATTTACAGGCCTTTGCCACTTTTTATTGTCAATCGTTTTCCCCAAAGAATAAGGGTGACCTTTTTTTATCTTCCTCAGTGAAGACAGCTCATTTTCAGTGGCACATATTTCTTATGTCTTTAAAAAATCCACTCTGTAGTGGATTTCAAGGAAGAGATGAAAGCATAGCATATGAGGAATATTTGTAAAGCAGATTTCAAAGTGCTGAAAAAAGTGCAATATGTGTTGTGGCTGACCCCTGTCAGGACCTGCACCATGTGGTTTGACCCTGAGATAATTCCAATATTGTCAAATAACCTATTTGTGTTTTTCCCAGTCCATAATGTCACACGTAGTACTTTGTTCAATGTATTTCCTATGTGCAATAAAATGTTTGTGTATTTGTATTTTAAATCTCTGTATAATTTTAAGCTGTTTTATATGTGGGAAAATAAAAGAATTGACACAATGGTTCCCAGATGTGCTCATTCAAACTCCATTCAAACTTATATTCTGTTACAGCATTCAACTACCTTCCAAAGTGAGATCTCTAAACCCATAAGTTAGCGCAGCTTGTAGGTCTCATCAGGGAAGTTCCTTTGTGCAATGGGCATTGGTGAGTACAAAGTCTTCAAACTGGTCATAGTATAGAGAGTGGGTGGCTGTGGAGTGCTCAGTCACAAAATAAACACATTTCCCAGAAAGGTTCAGGAAATATCATGCAAGAGGAGGCAGAAAAATTATAAGAGCCAGAGGTCAGGGAGGACTGAGGAAAAGTCTGCAGGTCATGAGAGTACCACTGTACTCATGAACTCACAAGACCTTCACAAAACCAAGTCTGCCAACATCCCAGCAGGATGGAAGAAGGGTGCAGGAGACATCACTCATACCTGGGGAGCTATTGATAACTGATGACTGCTAGGGAAGGGACATCAGTTTTTATATGCAAGAATGTTCCTAGTAATTGACTATGCTCCAACAAATGATCCTGTATCCATGCATATATGGGCAACATTAATTGGAGTCAATGGGATACAAAAAAGAAAAAAGCTTGGAGGAGTTGGAAGTGGGGATGGTGAGTGAATATGACTGGGATACTTTGTATACATGTTTGGATTTCTCAAAGAATAACTATAAGTTATATCATGTTACAAAGCAGAAAACAGTAGAATGCTTTTTAAAGGTCCTCCACAGAGCAAAATCCTAACTTTGTAGCCCATTTTTTACATTTTCACACATTCACGCTAAGATGACACATTCATTTTTTGCATATATCAGATATTTGGAAATCTTTGGCCCATGTATCCAGTATTCTGAAACCATCTTTTTCAAATCTCTTCTGAAAAATTTTTTACTATATACATTATAGCTATTTGCATATGCTAATTTATCAAGTAAGTAATAGATAGGCTTCAAGGGCTATTTCATCCAGGAAAACCTTTGATCACTCCCAGAACTGTTTTATGAATGAATGTTATAATCCTGTCCTCTTCTGACATTTGAAATGGATGACTGGGCAGCCAGCCAACAGGTAAGAGACCTGTGGGCAGGCCTTTCCACCACTGCTGCCACACATTTAACTCTGCAACCCACAAGACCCATTCTGCTGCCCAACTCCACTTACTCCATCATCCTCCTCCTGGCCAACTGTCCCCCCAAACATCAAGAGCCTCTAGAGGCACAAGCACCACCTGCACCAATTGGGAGAAGAGACGCGTGACTGATTTCCCATCTAAACTGCCCCAATCTCGATTCCCTAAGCCCCAGAGCACATCCTTTGCCCAAACCCTTCCCATCTTAGACCCCAGCAAGGCAACTGGGCCACGTCCCCAACTCTGCTGAAATTCCACTGCTCTCTGCCACTGCTGCCACCCATTAGACTCTGTAGCCTACAAAACCCACTCCTCTGCCCAAACCCCGTGAACCAATCATCCTCCTCAAGGCCACCCATCCCCCAAAATATCAATAGCCTCCAGAGGCACAAGTTCCACTTATACCAGTTGGAAGAGCACAGGGCCCTATAGGCACAAGCACCACCTACACCAGTTGGAACATGAACAGCCCTCTCCAGCAACATCAACAGACCCTATAGGTAGAAGTTCTGCCCACACCAGTCAGAAGAACAGGCACTGGCAAAAGCTGTACCAGTAGGAAGAACAGACTCCATAGGCACAAGTAAAGCGCACACCAGCCAGAACTGGACAATACACTGGATCTAGGCGCCAAACCCCCCACAAACCTCAGCTGAGATAAATCTACTCAACTTGACAACCAGGTAATCACCGGAACCGCTGGCCATTCAGGCCAAAAGATACTAAAGGAAACAGACAATAAAGGAATAAAAGACCATTTCAACAAAGACATCACAAGAATCAAAACCTGTAACCCTAATTATCCCAAACTCAGATGGGTAAATGGCAGTATAAGAATACATTCAACAGCATAAGGAGCAACGTGGCACCACCAGAACCTAGTGGTTCTACAACAGCAAGACCTGAGCATCCCAATGCAGATGAAGCAGAAGAAAATGACCTTGAAAATAACATTATAAAGATGACAGAAGCCCTTAAAGAAGAAATGAAAAAGGTCTCTTAAAGACATCAATGAGATGAGAAACAAACAAAAAAATTGGAAGAAATCAGTAAATCCCTTAAAAGAAGTTTAAGAAAACAACAATCAAGCAGGTGAAGGAAACAGTTCAAAACTTGAAAAAGTAAAGTGGAGGCAATAAAGAAAACACAAACTGAGGGAATTCTGGAAATGGAAAATCTGAGTAAATGGACAGGATCTACAGATGCAAGTATAATCAACAGAATACAAGAGATGGGAAAGAGGATCTCAGGCACGGAAGATACAATAGAGGAAATAGATTCATCAATTAAAGAAACATTAAATCCAACAAATTCTTAACACAAAACTTCCAGGAAATCTGGGACACCATGAAAAGACCAAACCTAAGATTAATAGGGTTTTAAGAAGGAGAATAATTCCAGTTCAAAGGCTCAGAAAACACATTCAACAAAACCATAGAAGAAAACTTTCCCATTGTAAAGAAGAACATGCTTATGAAGTCAAAAGAAGTTTACAGAACACCGAATAGACTGGACCAAAAAAAAAAAAAGGATGAAAGGATAGAAGAGAAACCATAAATTAAAATTGATAAAGATTAGATTAGGAATCTTCTCTCCAAAGTTAGGTTTGGTTCAGGGTTTTGCTTTTGTATTTCCAGGAAAATAAAAACAAACATCTGGAGGAATTTAAAGACCTTTGGACAAATGTGCATCCAAAGATGAAGACAAAACTATGTAAAAAATTTATCAAGAAAAGAAATAATCTAAATTAATGCGATATCACTGTGCTAGTCCCACCACCACTCAGGGGAGAGATGAGTGTGGGTCCCTGTCTCAGGCCTGATTTCTGCTTGCCCTCTTTGGGATCTCCTGGCTTGGGGACTTCTGGCAAATCGATTTGCCCCCTGCAGTCCAAGCAATGCAGATTTTGCTGACATCACTGTACTAGTCCCAACTCCACCCACAATGAAAGGGAGTGTCTCAGACCCACCTAAACCCATCATGAGACCCATCAGAGTATTGGACTTGCTTGCATCCACTGGAAGAGAACCTTGGATCCGTACCCACCAGGAGAGGAAGAGACCCCACCTGCACCCACGGGAAGAAGGGATAGGAAGACACAACAACAACGGAAAACAAATATGATGCCACCAGAGTCTAGGGACTTGATACCAGCAAGACCTGAACATCCAAATGCAGATGAAGCAGAAAGGAATGACCTTAAAAACAACTTCATGAAAATAATAGAGGCCCTCAAAGAGGATACAAGAAAATCCCTAAAAGAAATAGAAGAAAAAACAAACCAAAAAAAGCAAGAAATCTCTTAAAGAAAGCAAGGAAAGCAAAGAAAAAACAATCAAACAAAGGAAGGAAATAATTCAAACAGTTCCAGACCTGAAAACTGAAATAGAGACAATGAAAAAAACACAAACCAAGGGATTGATAGAAACAGAAAAGCTGGGTAAACAAGCAGGAATTACAGATGCAAGCATAACCAACAGAATACAAGATATGGAAGACAGAATCTCAGGTGCTGAAGATGTACTAGAAGAAATAGATTCATCGACCAAAGAAAATCTTAAGTCCAACAAATCCCTAACACAAAATATGGACACCATGAAAAGTCCAAACCTCAGAATAATAGGTATAGAAGAAGGTGAAGAAACCCAATACAAAGGTGCAGAAAACATATTCAACAAAATCATAGAAGAAAACTTTCCCAACCTAAAGAAAGACATGTCAATGAAAGTACAAGAAGCTTACAGAACACCAAATAGAGTGGACCACAAAAAACATGCCCTCACCACATAATAATCAAAACCCCAAACATACAGAATAAAGAAAGATTATTAAGGGCAGCAAATGAGAAAGGTCAAGTAACACACAAAGGCAAACCTATCAGAATTGCACCTGACTTCTCCATGGAAACTCTGAAAACCAAAAGGTCCTGGATAGATATCCTACAAATACTAAGAGGCCACAGATGTCAGCCCAGACTGCTATGCCCAGCAAAGCTTTCAATAACTATAGATGGAGAAAACAAGATATTCTATGGCAAAACCAGATTTAAACAATACATATCCACTAATTCAGCACTACAGAAAGTACGGGAATAAAAACTTTACATCACAGTAAAGGGTTGGAATAAGATTTTCCAATCAGATGGACCCAAGAAACAAGCTGGTGTAGATGCTGAAAAGGCCTTTCACAAAATTCAACACCCCTTTCAAAATAAAGGTATTAGAGACATCAGGGATAACAGGAGCATACCTCCACATAATACAAGCAACATACAGGAAACCAACAGCCAACATCTAAATTAAATGGACAGAAACTCAACTCGATTCTTCTAAAATCAGGAACAAGACAAGGCTGTCCACTCTCTCCATACCTCTCCAACATTTTACTAGAAGTTCTAGCTAGACCAATAAGGCAACAAATGGAGATCAAGGGAATACAAATTGGAAAGGAAGAAGTCGAACTTTCACTATTTGCAGATGATATGCTAGTTTACATAAGTGATGTGAAATACTCTACCAGGGAACTCCTACAGCTGACAAACACCTTGATCAAAGTGGCAGGATAAAAGATTAACTGAAAAAATCAGTAGCTCTACTATATACAGAAAATAATTGGGCTGAGAAAGAAATCAGAGAAACATCACCCTTTACAATATCTACAAACAACATAAAACATCTTGGAGTTATGCTAACAAAACAAATGAAAGACCTGTATGGCAAGAACTTTGTGTCTTTAAAGAAAGAAATTAAAGAAGATACCAGAAAATGAAAAGACCTCCCATGCTCTTGGATAGGTAGAATCAACACAGTAAAAATGGCAGTCTTGCCAAAAGAAATCTACAGATTCAATACAATTCCCATCAAAATACCAGCACAATTC